TGGATTCATGCCTTTCTCAAGAGCGTAAGTGTGAAATGAACACAAATTGCTTCAGCCGGAATTTGAACCCGGTTCACCAATTCCATTTTTTGTGCTGTTAACCGTTAACTCAATTCTGTAAATTTCTTTCTCTAAAGCAGCAGTCACGTTGGACATATCTGGTCCACTACAAAATTTCGGAGTAACTTTATTGGCGCCAGGAAATTTTAGAGGTGTGAATCCAATTTAATAGCCATCAGGGATCTTGATGTAAGAAACGTAAATCTATGGTGACTTCAATATGTACTGGATTCATCCAAAGTGATACCAAAATAAGTTTTGTAATCGATGTCACCTTATAGAACGTCAGAAGACATGGGAGTCTCAAGAGATGACTTAGTAGGTAACCTCAAAGTCTTCAAATTCAGAATTTGGTTTCGAAAGATGTAGGTGGGCATACATATGGAAATGAACCCAGTTCAACACAGGACACACACACACACAGGGGCGTGCGCATATACATACATCACAACCTGATAAAAAGAATCTATACAAACGCCTAAAATACGAGGGGAGAGGGAAAGAGAGAAAGAGAGAAAGAGAGAGAGAGAAATGGAGACAAAGAGAGAGAGTATGTGATTCCTACATACTCACATAAGAAGACTATCGAATGTTTGAAGAAAACCCCGAAACCACATACCTCAGACGTTACTAACAGAATACATTTATGGATTTCTGACCACTCGACCATTCAGAATTTTGAATTCAGAGTTGTCTTTCTTCTAAACCGGTTGCCAGCCAAGGCTACAAGGCACAATCTGCTATTTAATCTGCTATTTATACATAGTTGGTGGGAGAGAAAAGATGGATTCATACCTTTCCCCAGTAAGTAAATGTAATGATTTCGACTGAAATTCGAGCTCTCCGATTCCTCAATCCGAACCACTACCCATGACTCGACCGTGGCCATCGAGCTGAAATGTTTTGAGATCTCTGACATAGTTCAATTAGTGAATGGAGAAAAACATCTAGAATGATAGTGATTCAGTGAAGACCATTCACTAGAAGAAGCAGTGGATGCAGGTACTCAAATATAGACTCATAGGCAATGTGGTCAGAAATAAATCTATTTCCATCGGACCGCGTGCAACTGGAGAAGTGAAGATGGGTTAGGGAGCTCCTCAGAAACTATAAAACAAAAAACGCTATGAAACCTGTTATTGAATTAAAAGGATCTAATTCTTTGACGAGCAACAACGGTTGATAAAAAAAAATGGATTCTTTACAGCAATAATAAAATAATGTTGTCTTCATTTCATTTCCCGAAACGGAGTTTTTCCAAATCTACGGTTCACAATTCACATCCAGCCCGACAGAAATTTTCATTTTCGGAATTATAACGTTTCTATTTTGTTTTCAATCATATCAACCTGATTACAAAAAAAGAGCCAAATGAAACAGAATCATTCATTTTTTTTTCTTTGCCCCCCCCTCATCAAGAATCCAAACTTTGTGCTGAAATGTTTGTAGACAACAAATCTAAGATATCGAGTCAATAAAATGAACGCCAGATTGAAAATGTACATATCGATTTTTCGATCTGAATATTCTTGAATATGCAGTCGATGTAAAGGTTAAGTGACGTGAAAGTGAAATTCAGGAGCCGAGTTCGAATCCCAGTCAAGTTCATTCTAGTTACTTTAGCGCAAATACCCATGGGAAAGGTATGAATACATCCAGTTAAATACAGGGTGCGATGGATAAATTTTCGTCTAAATTAGGCAAAAAATGAAAATAACACTGGCATCTCATTTTAAAAGATATATTTACCGAAATTACACAAAAATATCTTGAAATATTAAAAAGTAAATTTATTAAATAAAATTGCCATTGCCTTTAACCACGGCCTCCAGACGACTTCGGAATCTCCTGCAACTCTTCTGGGCGGTCTCCTTTTTTAAGTTAGTGAATGCTGCCATAATCATTACCTTCAGTTCATCTTTGGTGTTATAAGGAGTTTTGTTGGTTACTCTTTCAAATGCGCCCCACATATAATAATAAAGTGGGTTGCAACCAGGGGTGTTAGGTGGAAGATGTAAGGGGTGATGTGGTTGCACAAATTGTCTGACAGCCATGACTGAGTTCTCCTGTTTGTGTGGCATGGTGCAGAGTCTTGTTGCCAGACATAGGGTCTTCCATCTATCCTCTTGTCCCACGACAGCACTACCTCATCATAGCACTTAATGTTGGTCTCCATGCTGGTCTGAGGTCCTGTGCGAAGATGAATGGAGGCATAACATCGCCATCACTAGCGATCACTCCAAAACCCTTCGTAATCACCACTAGACTCATCCAACTCTTTTCGAATCCTCTCCACTTTCCTCAGAATGACACCCAATCACTCTGAAATGTTCATATTGGAGCTTCCGGCGCGAATGCCAAGCAGTACAGCATGCTGTTTCTAAATTTTCAGCGGAGTGAATTGCGTCATGGTTCTCTTTTTTCACAGAAGGTGCCCAACTGACCCTACTATACTGCGCAGTCGACAAAATCAAAAACAAAGAACACGCATGCGCTAAATTAAAAATATAAAATGGTGACAATTTACCATCGCACCGTGCAGAAGGACAGATTTGGCTTTTCAGTTTTGCTTGTCAACCGTCTACGAGAAGTACAGTTGAACTCAAAACCGTTTGGATATAGGGATATTAACTCCGTCCTATAATAATATACTTGCCAAGATAACCACAGCAGCGGCGCCTAGCGTGGCCCATCAGTAGATTTTACAGGACTTGATTGACTGAATGTTTCGAACTCGTTGCTGATGAACTTATTTGACCCCGTTAAAAAATGGATGACTTTCTCTTACTAACACAGTAACTTTAGCTCTAGTTTATAATTACAGTGCGGAAGAAGAAGGCCAAATAAGGGTCAGAAGATTACATTACGTCAAATTTCAAAATGGATAGTGATTAATTGTTAATTGTGAAAAGAAAAACCTGAAATTCAGACCATAACATGGTTTAGTCTCTGGCCTTTGGAAAGAGTATGACAAAAACATATGTGTCTAAGCCTGGGGAAATGTGTCGTGATCTAGTTTAGTAGACGTTTATTAATGTTTATACTAATGTTTATTCATTTGAATACTGGTTGAATATGGTTTTATACTAAAACTAATTTACGTTTAACAACTATAGAACTAATATATATATATATATATATATATATATATATATATATATAAAATGCATGATAAAATGTAAAGAAGATTCCATATGACGCGTTTTGTCCTTCAGTACTTCATCGGACAAAATTCGTTTGTATATATATATATATATATATATATATATATATATATATATATATATATTTAATGTAGATCATTTAGATTCTTTTTGTCTTTGTTTCCATCATTTTTACTGTTAAATATCCCACACTGTGATAATATAAGACGGAAAGGACGAAACACGTCACACGAAAACTTTTTCCACTTTGTCATACATTTTTCCTCAATACTGTTCGTATATATATATATATATATATATATATATATATATATATATATATATATATATATATCGGGTGTTGGGCACCTCGATGCGGTGTAATGGTTAGCAAGCTCGTCTCGCTGAGTAGACTGTTCTAGTTCCGCGTGCTATGTCTAATGGATGTCAGTTATCAGTTATCTCCGGTTATTTCCCCTCTCCAAGTTTTCTACTGCCTTAACCAGGCATTGAACTCACACTCTTTGGGTCCTGTCAAATAAAGGGTTCAGTTTGACATTCCAACCACCTGAAGAAGGCCGGAGCGTACAACGGCCGAAACGTTGTGATCAATATGGCAACAAAGATGAGGACAATAGTCCGAATAATGTAAATAGTGTACATAATATCTCATCTCAGAAATATAGACAGATATCAAAATTTGATATATTTTCAATAAATTTACTCATGATTTGAATAAAAGTAATTATTTCAGTTTGTATCGTGCCCGTTCCGAAAGTGGAAGATTTCTCGATAAATGTCTATCTTTAGTAGTTTCAAGTAATGTCACCTTTCTATCCTCCCTATCCTCTGTTTTGTCATCCATTTGCACAAGTTCGTATCTATGTTTCTCAATATTTCCCTTTGACTCTCCTACTTTCTATTTATCTTGTACTTATCAAATTCTCCAAACCGCCTTTCCTCCTTTTGCGTGTTAGTAATTTTAAATCTCTCTGATTCCAAGTACAAGGTTTCTTTTTGTTTTCCTTTTCCTTAAAACTTCATCGTTATTCACATGTTCCAACCATGGCATTCTAAGCATCATTCTTTATAACTACATTTGCAACTGCCTTATATCCCCGCCTTATTTGGGGGTAAATTGTCCAGTATTTCCTACCATTTAGAAAGATTGATATCACATAACATTTTAGTACTCTTTTCTTTGCTACTAACGAACTTTTTCTTGTGTTATAATATTTTGTTTAGATTCTGGAAAGGCATCTTGACATAACTGTTGCAAGCATTTTTCTTTTTCATTTTCTTTAAACTTAATTGTTTTTCTTCGTTGACTACACAGAATGGAAAGCCATTGTTAACTTGTATTTGCTTTCTGTCGATGAGTTTTGTTTCATCCGTAAGGGAATTGTCCACCACTCAATGTTATATAGGCTTGAAGGTCTATTAGAATATCAGAAAATGACTTGTAAACGCTAAACAAAGGTACTTAAAAGTTTAAATAAGCATTTAAAATTTTAATTTCGCTAAAAGTATATGCTATTAAAAAAAAAAAGAAAAAGTTATTGTGTCCAACATAACATGTTTACTGAACGCTTGAAATATTTTCCACCCCTTCATCGTTTCTATTCTAAAATGTCATCCTATTAACAGGTCACATCCTGGCGAGTAGGCAGTCATAAAGAATAGGGTGCGACAAAGAATAAGTTAATTTCTTCTGACAGATATTTCCATTGATTAAATCTCACGAAAAGTTATTTAATATGAAGGGAAATAACTGTTGAGGAGACAGCCAAGTTGAAAATGTCCTCATTCTTTGATCTTACACTGGAATTATCTATCTATCTATCTATCTATCTATCTATCACATTCTGTTCACATCTGTCTCTTTCTATCTATCTCTATCACATTGTGTTCATATCTATCTATCTATCACATTCTGTTCACATATGTCTCTTTCTATCTATCTCTATCACATTGTGTTCATATCTATCTATCTATCTATCTATCTATCTATCTATCTATCTATCACATTCTGTTCACATCTGTTTCTTTCTATCTCTATCACATTCTGTTCATATCTATCTATCTATCTATCTATCTATCTATCTATCTATCTATCACGTTCTGTTCACATCTGTCTCTTTCTATCTCTATCACATTGTGTTCATATCTATCTATCTATCTATCGATCACATTCTGTTTACATCTGTCTCTTTCTATCTATCTCTATCACATTGTGTTCATATCTATCTATCTATCTATCTATCTATCTATCTATCACATTCTGTTCACATCTGTCTCTTTCTATCTATCTCTATCACATTCTTCATATCTATCTATCTATCTATCTATCTATCTATCTATCTATCTATCTATCTATCTATCTATCTATCTATCTATCTATCACGTCAATCTGTCTTGAAATCTAATACTTAGTATTCTGTTTTGTATTTGGGCTCCGAATGTTGATCACAACGACTGGGGTATATAACACGCAAGCATTGAACCAACCAACCGGACCCAATATTTTCATTGTTCATGCAAGAAGGAATTCGACCTTCGACAGGTAACTTACACATTTGATATCAGGTTCCACTTAACCCTATCATACTGATTTGAAAAATCACCTTCTCTCCATTATATACATAGCTTATGAGATTTCTAAATACCTAAATGCTTAAAATTTGCTTTTGAATCTTTGCAGGATGACTCCTTGTTAATCACGTTGTTTTATTATGTGCATGGTCTGTCAATTTTAAATAAGTGTAAGGCAATTAAAATTGTGATTAAAGACATAGTTGACCAAAATATAATAGTAGAAAATACTTAATCTAATAAAACAAATTCAAATAATCTTACTATTAATAATATTAGATGAAAAGCAAATAAAATGAAGACGAAAGAAATATTAGACAAAAAATAAATAATAATGTTTAGTAATGCTTTATACAATAAAAAATGAAGGCTAAAAATGAATACTATTTAAAAAAATGATAATAATGGTTGATAATGGCTAATAAAAATGGAAGATAAAAATAAAGAGTATTCAAAAATTAATAATAATGGTTGGTTTTGTTTGTTTTACAGCATATCAACCTCAATGAATTATTTAATGCCAACAAGATATTTATTGCTGGTAATATTTTTCTTTTTCAAAAATGTACTGGTATTAATTTTTTCTTCAAAAATGTATTGCTGGTATTAAAACCTATTTTTACACTTTCATGGTGTTTTGACCTCAGTTTTTTGGGGTGGGTGTAACTATTTGTCCATAGCTGGGACCCTAACAGGTGCTACCACCCCGGCTGAGGGTGAACCTGGGAACAACAGCAATTAAGAGATAATGGTTAATAATGCTTTATCTAATAAAAAATGAAGATGGCAATATATACTAGTCAAAAATTAATAATAATGCTTGGCACTGGTTCATCTAAAGAAATAAATTCAAGATACTATTAGTATTAACATTACCAGATAAAAAGCAAGTAAAAATGAAGTTGAAAGAAATAATAGTAAAAATTAGTAGGTCACCTCAATTGGCCTATTTTGAGTTTTCATACTGGAATAAGATTTATTTGAGAGCTATGAAACTCTTTTACTGAATGTAATTAAAGAGTCGCGAGCACTTGACATTCGTATACAAATCTAGTACTTAAAAAAATGTTACTTATTTTGAGAATGTCTATCCTTGATCTTAAAGAATAATGTATTCACAAAAAGTAGAATCTTATTTGTTAATGAGAATGGAACATAAATTTAAATGTTTCGTCGATTTCTAAAAATCCGAGGAAAACATTTAACTTATCTCACATACAGATGTGTTTAAAATTATATATTAATCGTTATCCCAACAGATATAATAATCATCAGTATTTCAGCCGATATATTCATCGACCAAACGTACTCTGTGCTGTTCATGTTGAGGAGATGAACAAAGGAAAAACTTACAAAACTATATTTAACGATCAGGTGTACGAGGGTGGGCTGAAAGGTTCAAAGGCTGACTATGATGGAGTGATACCAGAGCTGTGAAATGTTGCATGCATGAATTTCAACCCTTCTTATCAATAACTGCATTGTTTCTTTCCAGGTACGAGAATGGGCTGAAAGGTTCATTCACTGACTATGATGGAGTTTTAATGAATTATTTTCTCTTTTAATTAGAGAAGAATTTTTATATCAAATTTGTGGTCAATCTCGTTACGGTGAGTAACTAATGCGGTTAATATGTTGTGTAGTTTTAGTGTCTCTGTGGTAATGCTCTTTTTTTTTTCGTTGTTGGTTTCTATAGTGTCACAGATTATTCCTTGAATTAAGCCTTTGATAAAGTCTGCATCATTTTATCTATGATTTTTTATTAATGCGTCGATTTAATGATGTTTGAAGAAAAATGTATTACCAGCAGTACATTTTTGAAAAAGAAAAATATTACCAGCAATAAAAATCTTGTCGGCATTAAACAATTCATTGAGGTTGATATACTGTAAACCAGTCGTAACCAAACCAAACCAAACATTATTATTAATTTTTGAATAGTATTTATTTTTTATCTTCCATTTTTTTAGGCATTATTAACTATTATCATTAAGTTTTTTTTTTATCGTATTCATTTTTGGTTTTCATTTTTTATTGCATAAAGCATTACCAAACATTGTCTATCACATTCTGTTCACATCTCTCTTTTTCTGTCGATCTCTATCACATTGTGTTCATATCTATCTATCTATCTATCTATCTATCCATCTATCTATCTATCTATCACATTTTGTTCACATCTATCTATCTATCTATCTATCTATCTATCTATCTATCTATATATCTATCTATCTATCTATCTATCATATTTTTCCTTATCTATCTATCACATTTTGTTCACATCTATCTATCTATCTATCTATTCATCTATATATCTATCTATCTATCTATCTATCATATTTTTCCTTATCTATCTATCACATTTTGTTCACATCTATCTATCTATCTATCTATCTATATATCTATCTATCTATCTATCTATCATATTTTTCCTCATCGATCTATCACATTTTGTTCACATCTATCTATCTATCTATCTATCTATCATATTTTTCCTTATCTATCTATCACATTTTGTTCACATCTATCTATCTATCTATCTATCTATCTATCATATTTTTCCTTATCTATCTATCACATTTTGTTCACATCTATCTATCTATCTATCTATCTATCTATCTATCATATTTTTCCTTATCTATCTATCACATTTTGTTCACATCTATCTATCTATCTATCTATCTATCTATCTATCTATCTTTTGATCATATGTATGTACGTATGTATGCATGTATGCATGTGTCTATCTATCTCTATCCTATTCCGTCTATTTCTTTATACCTGTATGCCCATATCTATCTATGGTTGTTTATTGCTTATTACATCACGAAGTAAAATAGGTGAAGCAAGATTGTGCTGCGCAAATCCTGCTAGTGAGGTGCGCCAGTCTGTCTTGAAATCTGATACTTAGTATTCTGTTTTGTATTTGGTCTCCGAATGTTGATCACAACGACTGGGGTATATAACACGCAGGCAACGAACCAACCAACCGGGTCCAATATTTTCATTGTTCATGCAAGAAGGAAGTCGACCATCGACAGGTAACATTAGTTACTCACAGTAACGAGACTGACCATAATTTTGATATAAAAAATGTTTCTCTAATTAAAATACAAAATAATTCATTAAAACATCTGATGTCAGAAGTGGCACCCACCGGGCAGAAACCTTCGTCATGCCAAGTTCACCGTGCAGAATTCTCTCACCTGATATGTTTTCCTTAATGGTGGCAGTCAAAGGACGTCCAGAACTTGGGTCACCTTCAAAACTCTCTCTTCCTCTCCTAAATTCAACTACCTACTTCTGCACTATTGATAAAGCTGGGGCGTCATCCCCTACTGTAGCAACCATATCAACATCAATGATCTTGAGGACTAAATCTTTTTTTGCACATAATTGTTAACACCACGGTGACAAATTTGCTCCATTTTGACGAGAAGTCACTACTTATTACATTTGAAGTCTTCTTTGAGGTGTCAGTTAAACTGGAAAGAAACGATGTAGTTATTAATAAGAAGAGCTGAAATTAATGCATACAGTAATTCAAAGCTCTAGCATCACTCTTTCATAGACTGTGAACTTTTCAGTACAGATTCGTATATATCATAATTTATCTCTTGAAAATATATTTCAATTGAGCACTGTTCAGGGATAAGTTAATTCTATAAACAACATCCTATATATATATATAGGGATTACGATATATAAATTTTTATATATCAAGAACAGTTTTGGAGACGAATTGGAAAATATTTAGTGCAACGTGTTTCGTCCCCTAGGGCTAAATCTGACTAGGTTCGTTTACCTTGATGCGACTACACATGCGAACGAATTTTTGCAATCATCAGGGGACGAAACTAGTCGCACTAAATCTTTTTCCAACTTCGTCATGCGACTTTTCTCCAAAACTGTTCTTGATATATAAAAAATGAATTTCTTAGCTTCGGTTTGAAATTCGCGACCGGGAGTCGTGAAGGAGATCTAGTCAACGCATTAATAAAAAATCATAGATAAAATGATGCAGACTTTATCAAAGGCTTAATTCAAGGAATAATCTATGACACTATAGAAACCATCAACGAAAAAAAAAGAACATTACCACAGAGACACTAAAACTACACAACACATTAACCGCATTAGTTACTCACCGTAACGAGATTGACCACAAATTTGATATAAAAATTCTTCTCTAATTAAAAGAGAAAATAATTCATTGAAATGAACATGTTTTGAATGTGCTTTAATCGTTAGTTCATCCACAGTAAATTTGCGTCCAGGTCTTATAACGTGTCACCATTCTTGACAGATCTTCTGTTATCAAAATGTGGGACATATAATAAGAAAGACGATGGAAACAAACAAAAAAAAAGAATCTAAATGATGTTGGCTAGATTGCATACCAAAAAAAAAAAAACATTAAAAGAAAAAAAGTTTTTCTAAATTTAAAATTCCCAGCGTCACTTGCTTATGCGCATGTGTAGTCGCATCAACGTAAACCTAAGGGACGAAATGCGTCAGACGAACTTTTTTCTGACTTTGTCATATATATATATATATATATATATATATAATATAATTGTTTATTTAAAATTATAACATAAATACAAAAATAGCCATTTTGTTTCAACACCTCTAGTGTCTTATCAAGTGATGATGTTGAATGTAGAATAAAGGGTTTTAAAAGGTTCAAATTAATTAACCACCCTTCGCAAGGGGAAACGCTGTTACATAAGCTGGAATGACCAATAAAATTACAAGTATAGGAGAATTCAAAAAACTTGACAACGAAGTAAGGTTATAATAGCTATTAAGTGTTTTAAAGTTGGGGTTATACTAAAATAGAATTTGTTCTAACTTACAAGTATTAAATTATATGATAAAATTTGAAATTAAAATAAAAAAAATGACCCATTTTAAAATCTTAATTTAATCCCTAAAGTTTAAAATTATAGAATTACCGAGTAAAAAAGAAAAATACATATGTTATTCTATTTATTTGTTTTTATTGAAATTACGCTGGAATAGACGTTAAGATCGACTGCTCTTAACTTCATGACAACATGAATACATTTGAATTCCAAGTGTAGGGATGGGATGATGACATCTTACGAAAGACAATACATACACACTCAGATTATAATACATAAGCACCCAGCCATATTTAGATATATACACACACACCAAAAAAAAAAAAAAGAAAAAGAA